TGGGGGGGGGTCCAGGTAAAAAAGGGGAAAAAACCCGGGGGGGGGGTTTTATTTTTTTGGGGGAGGGGGGGGCCCCCTGGGAAATTTTTAAAAGGGTTTTTTTGGGGAAAAAAAAAAGGGGGGGCTTTTTTTTTTTTTTTTTTTTTTTTTTTGGGAAAACCCCCCCCCCCCCCCCCCCCCCCCCCCCCAGCCCCCGAGTCTCATCAGCTCTGAACCCCACGCATTGCGTAGCTCTCGGTTGTTTATCGCCACCTGCCACTCACTCAACCTCGACCGCGTGTACCCTTTTCTCGCCTTTGCTTTTTTTTGCTGCTGCTGCTACTGCCTGTTGCTACTGCTGCTTGCCTTTGTGGTTTTGCAGTCAGAGTACTTGGGAGAAGACGGAGAGTGGTACTACTATTTCACGGGCAGCGACGGCAATGCCTACAACATGACACACGTCTTCTACGCCACGGAGCAGGACCACCTCAACGTCGCCAAAATCCAGGCGGTAAGCTTGTTTGGCGCGGTTGGTTTTCTTGCTGGTGGCTTGGAGTCCCGGCGGTATCAAAAAGCGAGTCTGCCGGTTGTTATGCGTGTTTGTCCCGGCGTGTGCGTGACTGGCCGCCGAGTGTTTTGGGAGATTTTTGTGGTTTTTTGCAGTGTGTCCGGTTGGTTGGGACCTAAGACGTGTTCTGTGGGGGTACTAGCCACCCTTACGGTAAAACGACGCCCATCTTCTACGTAGTCCTGTGTCTCGCCTTTTTTGCGGCGGTCTCTGCCGCGAGCGCCCTCTCTGTCTTTTGCACCCACGAGAGGCTTCTCCCCCTCTTGCGTGGTATGCATACTTGTACGGTACAGCAGCGCCGGGTCTGTTTCGGATCGTGGTGCTGTACGAATCACGTAAAGCAGAATTGCCGTGGTTTCACGGCTTGCCCATCACACTCGGCGAAGCCGTTCCTATCTCTCCCTTTTTTTTTGTTCATGTTTGTCCGGATCCCGGTGCCCCCCCGGATGGTGCACCCGATGAAGGGTTGTTCCGGCCGGTATCCAACTGGAGTCGTGATTATTGATGGTTGTTTTTTATCAGGGTGATGACACGCATTCCCTCGACCTCGGTAGTGCACACGGGCCACATGCAAGCCCATCTAACCCCCCCCCCCCCCCCCCCCTTCCCTGAAATTCTCCAACCAACCAACGCTCCGGTGGACAGCCCTGGAGCCCCAACCTTGAGCGCGCCCTGTTCAACCGAACGGTACGGATGTCGATTTACTGCAACAACGTCAACGAGCGAGAGGACGGTTACGTTATCTTCAAGGTGGGGGACGGAAACGGCTACTTCGACATCAACGTCGCGGATTACGAGGCCATCCTGACGGACAGCGGGTCCACCGCGTTCGCCACGCCCTGGGGAGGGGGCGCGGCCGGCCGCGGCTGGCTCTCCTCGGCGTTTACGTTCGTCGTTGTGGGAGCGCTGACCGCGTGGGTCGGCAAGCTTTCGGAAGGCTCCTAGGAGTGTGGTTGGCTTTTGCGACCTCTTTCCTGGGACCGATTTAGTCGCGGGGCTCGGGAGGGCGGGCGGGCGGGCGGGCTGAATAGTTTGACGGGGGGATCTTAACTAGCTAGGCACGGGTTATGGCGTCTGCAAACGGGAGCGTGGGGGGGGGGGGGCCTGCGGCTTTGACGGAAGGGGGGGGGA